AGAGAAACATCAATCAGCTGCCTCTTGCACACCCCCCACTGGGGACTTGCCCGCAACCAAGGTACATGCCCTTGACTGGAATCAAACCCGGGACCTTTCAGTCCGCAGGCCTAGGCTCTATCCACTGAGCCAAACCGGTTTTGGCAAACTCACACTTCTTAAACCTCCACATGTCAAGTCCCCCTTCTTTTTATTCCCCCAACAAAGACATTCATACCCACACCCCACTGGTACAACTTCTCCGACCATAATTTATGTGGCCCTGGGCCCCGCATCTATGTGCGGAGGAGGAGGCCTGGCCCACAGGGCTGAGGTTCTCCTGGACCCGGTCTTGCCTGAGCCAAGACAGGGAGACAAGGAGGCTTTGTGCAGCTCCCACCTCCCGGCACCAAGGCCCTTTCACTCGGCTGTCCCTCACCCCCCTCCATCTGCACAGGAAAGGCCAGCCCCTATTTCCTGTTTCCCTGGCTGCCTGCCAGACTCCCCACATTGGTGCCCTCAGCACTGCCAGGCTGGGAGGCCCATGGGCATCCTGTGCCATTGCCTCTGGAGGCATAGGTGCCCTGGGAAACCACTCTCACATTTCTACATGGGCACCTCCCAACTTCTCCGACCTCACACGGTGCTCACTGTGGACCCTGCTGCTGCCTGCCAGGGTGGCAGGAGCCTACGGCACTTCATTTATGCAGGAGGCTGTGGGTGGGCTCCCCCTAAGTGCTAAGAACTTGCTACTCTGAGCCCACAAATGCCCCATTTGCCCTCTTCTCCTTACTACCTGGCTACTCCCCTAGGACCCGAGAGTGAGCAGGCATGATAATGCTTAAGAGCATGGGTTTTAGAATCTGATCGACTCACTTCCAGTCTTGGATCTGCCACTCTCTGACCTTCATCAAATATATCATATTTGAAAAATGGAGAAAAGGACACCTTTCTTATAGGTCTAATGGTGCAAGGAATACATGAGCTAACACAAGTACAGCCTTAGCGCAATGCCAGGTTCAAAGAAGTTTAGCAAATAACAGACGAATGGTACTTACTGCCATTAATCCCAGCTGGCCATCAACTTGCTTTCAGAACTGGCATGTGGGTGGCATATTTCCCAAGTTCCTGGCACTGGTGTCAGTTTCCATTGGTCATTTCTAGAGAATGTTGGAAGGAGGACATCAGCAAACTGAGTCCTTCCTGTCATCTTGCCCAGAAGGGTTCCTTCAAGGGGTCAGGCTGGTTTCTGTTGCTTTGAGGAAATAAATGACTTCCAAGCACTTATCTCAGTTCTTTTAGTTCTACTGAATTTTCTAAAAATCAACAGAATCTCCCACTATTACCAATGTTTTGTCTCCTTTGGAATTGCTCCTCTTTTAATTTGTGCTTCATTGATCAGACCATGAATAACTAATAGTGGTGATGGTGGCATTTTTACCTCGTGCCTGGCTTAATAAAAGTGCTTTCTCTCTGTCCTCCTTGCATGCACATGTGAACTATTTGTTTAAGATAAAATAGTTCCCTTGTTCAGGAAATGCCCCCTTTATTTCCTTTTTTCCTGCCTCTTAGAGGTTGTTGTTGTTTTTAAGTCTGGGATGGCTATTTAATTTCATCAAATAATAGTTTCAGTAGCTATTAAAATGATAAGCTTTTATTTTAGCTTCCTTGACCTCATGATAGACATGATGGCTAGAGAACTCCATTTAGGAATGAACAGCTAACCAACAATTTATTTTATGTTCAAATTAGGGGCTAAAGGATGGCCTATGCAATAAAGAGCATTAGGATTTTAAATGTCCATTCAGGAAAAAAATTAAGTTTTAATCTTTCCTCACAACCAATGCAAATTCTAAATGGATTTGAGATTATGCCTTTAAACACACAAACACACACACACACACACACCACCTTTTAAACTATTTGAAGAAAATATTGGAAAATTTTTATAGTCTTGGTATGAGGAATCATATACAAGTTGTAAAACTTAGAAACCATAAAAGAAAATAGAGATATGAATACCTACATATCTAAATATTCTGTATTATGAAAGACCCAACAAAGGAAATTAAAGCGATTGGTAGGATGGAAAAAACATTGTCAACATACACAACAGACATTGAATTAATACTCAGAATATGTAAAAAGAAAGGGGGGGAATATTTGAATTGGCAAATAAAGCTCAGCTTCACTCATGATAAATAGCATATAAATAAAAACAACAAGGTAACGTTTTTCATAATCAAACTGCCTATATTTTAAAAGCTATATATCCAGTGTTGGAGAATGTACAAGGCTACTCGACCTACAACTTCAGGTCTCTCCACTACAGAATTCTTTTATGTAAATAGCGCCCCCTGCAGCACAACTTCAACACAGAGCGAGATTAATTGGGGACCCTGAAAGTAGCTCTCAGTGCTACAGTCCCTTGCAATGGGCTTAGTGAGAAAGTTTGGCATATCCGGCAAAATATAAAAGGCCCTCTTCCAGGAATGTAGCCTTTTAGAAATACATGAGTACGATACATGTACATAAAAATATATACAAAAGTATGTTCCCTGAAGCACAGGTGGGGAAAGAAACAAACTACCTGTCCACCAGTAGAGGATTGTAGGGGATTGTCTGGGCAAATAATGGTGCATCCATTCATGATATATTTTGCAAGGCTTCAAAGGAATGAAGTGGATTTATGTGTACTGACATAGGATGATCTTCAAGATTTGATGCTATGAGTGAGATAAACATAAATGTGAAAGCAAGTTCCAAAAATGCCTATTTTTCAGTCCCAGGTACATGCTTGTGTGTATCTGAATATACATTAGGTGGATAGGGAGTGCACACACCAGGAGCGGGGAGAGTAGTCACGCTGAGGGGATGGACTAGAATCGCTGTGTAGGGGCGTTAGTGCCAGGGAGGAGTTTCACATTCTCCTCCGCCTGCTGTCCTACCCTGTGACTCACCACAAGAAAGTATTGCATGTGTGTCAGTTTCATTGCAAATTCAAATATTAGGTAGGTAGCCCACTGATTCTGGGCTGTTCTTTGGACAACGTCTCACCTGACTAACCTACCCAGGAATGTCCTACTAAGGAGTGTAAGACATTCTTGAAAGAAACCCTTCTGAGCAGCTCATCAGGGCATCCTAATCCCCACGAGAGCATCTTAAAAACTAGATCCACATCTCTGCCCAAGATCTGCTGCTTCCAAACTGGAATTTCTGTGCCTGGGGGGAAGAATTGAGCAGTGAGGACTGCTGGGTAGTGTGGTAACTGAATTGGAGAACTACAAGACCGGGATTGGGAATGAGAAGACAGAGACCAGCCTTGTCTGCAAGGACTCCCATTAACCCTAAGGGGGCCCTGGCAGGACAGATACCTTCTCCTGGGCTTGGTGATGAAGGCGCTCCACTGACACCAGGCTCCGCGCTCCAGGCTCTGCAGCGCAGAAATCAAGGCTGCTGCAGCTTTGGTTTTTGTTTTCACTAAAACTTGGGTTGTTTTGCACTTGTTGGGGGTGTGAATCCCATGAATGAGGCTTTGACTATTGTGTTCTAAACTGGAGGAAGGTGGATTGGAAGTTCACTGAGAAAGCCACCCAGCTCTTGCTCTGGGCGTGCTTACATGAAGAAAGACAACTTGGTTCTCAGGAATGCTGTGACAATTATTATCTAAGGCAGTGATTGTCAACCCGTGTGCTATGACACACTGGCGTGCCACGTTTTAAAATATGCAATACCTGACTAATTAGACAGGGGCACTGACCTCTTTTCCTTTAGATTGTCAAATAATAAAAATGGCAACAGTCAACACAACAATAGACATCCCATGTGAATGAATTAAAATTATGCCTATTTTATTTTTATTTGATATCCATAATTTATCATCAGATCGGCAAAATAGTGTAATTTTTGACATGCCACGGAATTTCAGTAATTAGTTTACGTGTGCCATGAGATGAAAAGGTTAAAAATTGCTGGTCTAAGGACTGGCCTGCAGAGACAGGAAGACTGGATTCAAACCCTGAACCCAGCCAGGTGACTGTCAGCAAGGAGATGCCAGCAGGTGACTGTTGGCAAGGAGATACTAGTAGGATGATTGTTGGCAAAGTTCTTAACATTTCTGGGTCTCAGTTTCTTGGTTTGAAGAATGGACGTAATGATGGGGTTGCAGTGAAGAGCAGAGGAAGGGTATATGGATCAGTTAGTCGATCAGCGCTCAGCTACTGTTTATTAATATTATGGTGGTTTCTAGGCCGTTAACTCCTGGAGGGCAGACATACGTGAATGAGAAGTCTTTCATCCACTGAATCAGAATCAGAGTTCAAACACAGGGCTGGACACCGATTCTGATTCTATTAGGGCTCCAGGCTTCCATTCCTTTAAGCTGTTTAATGAGTCTGTACGTCGATAGGAATGCAAAACGATGCTTGTCCAGATGTATGTAAACCAGTCCTGTTTGGGCTCAGTTAATTCTCCCCCAGTTTTCTTTATTTGCACATTCATAGCCATATTCTGATCTGTGTCTGTCCTTTGGCTTGTTGTCACCCCTTACTGATTCCCTCATTCGTGACTTAAATAAAATCTTCAGCACATGCTCGTTTTCACCTCTCATGATTTTAAGTTTTTTTGTTTTTGTTTTGTTTTGAATTCTCTTCTAACATCACTATGACTCCTTTAGCGGAACAGCACTTTTCTGTAGAAGGCAGACGCACTTCTCAGGGCCAGACACTGTCCCATGCAATGAGAGTGCATGACTTGCTCGTAGGGGCTCTGGGTGACACGGGGGATGAAGGCACTGCCCTCAGCTTCCTCGGCCGGCCAGGCTGTATAACGGGCTCATAGCGAATGCCGGGCCGCACCCTCACCCCCTCGCCATTCTCCCTCTCCTCTGCGCCCCCCACCCACCCCCCAACCCCACCCCCCAACCCCACCCCCGGAGCGGGGACTCCAGGGCAGCCCCTCGCCGGGCAGGCGCCCAGGCTGGCACGCCCGCCCTCCGCCCTCGGGGTCTCTGGGCTCCGCGCGGCCCGCGGGCGCGGAGGGGCCTCTGGAGGGGGCGGGTTCGCTGGAGCCAGAAAGCCCGGAGCCGCCCAGGAATCTTGGCCGGGGCCGCGCGCATTTCCTCCCGGCGAGATCCCGGGGAGACGGCGGCGATCCTCCCGGGGAGGCGCGGGCAGTCGGCACCATGCGGCCCCTGCTGTGCGCTCTGGCCGCGCTCGCCCTGCTCCGAGCCGCGGGCGCCGACGGTGAGTGGGGCCCCGACGGGCGGGGACGGGAGAGACGCGCCGGGCGAGGGAGATGGAGAAGGGAGGGACAAGGAAACAGCCAGATGGAGAGAGAGAGATGGAGAAAGAGGGAGATGAGAGAGAAAACAGAGAGAGGGAGAAAGGGCAGAGAAATAAAGGCAGATGGTGAGAGAGAGGGCGGGGGAAGAACTGAGAGAAAGGTGGGGACTGTCACAGAGACTTTGGAGATAACGGGTGGGTGTGAACCATGGGCTAGAAAGGAGTTTGAGAGGCAAATGGAACAAGAGGGAAAGAAACAGAGGACCTGACATGGCAAGAGAAGTGGGCGGGGGAGAATCTAGAGGAAAAGGGAAAGATTCCAGACCAAAAGGAAGGGAGAATATGGGGAAACCCCAGGTCTGAAGGAGAGAGGGGGGAGGTGACAGGGAGCACAGGGTGGGAGGCCAGTCTGCAGGTGGGGCAGCCCCCTCACCTGCTCTTACCTCCCACCCTCACCCCCACCCTCACCCCCACCCCCAGGGTCAGCAGAGGCTGGGGCCTGGCTCCCTGGGCCTTGGAAACCCAGCTTCCACACCCATGACAGCCGGTCAGGGTGGGGCAGGCGGCCCAGGAACAGGGCCCATGCTTCACCTATCCGGTGGCCTGAGGGGGCAGGTCGCTGGGTGAGCAGCCAGTCTCCAGGCTGCAGGAGGCATCCCGGAGAGCCTGGGGGCAGGGTGCTCTGCGGGCTGGGTGCTTTGTCTTGCGCTGTCCCCTCTGCCCTCCCAGGTGAGGCTCAGGGCAGGTGTCTGCAAGTGCACTTATTTTTGGACACAGACGCTCTGCCTATTGCACAGTATGTTACAGTTTACAAGCCACATTCCCATTTTCCGACGTCCCGAGAAGGCCTCAGCCAGGGCAGCTGGTGCCCATCCCAGTTGGCCAGGGGAGGGGAAGGCTCAGATCTCACCAAAGTGCCAAGGCAGAGCCCTCACGAAGCACCCGGCCTCCTGCCCCAGGCCACGCTGCTCCCCCATCGGCCTGGAGTCCGTGGGTGTTGAGTCCCCCAGACCAAGTGCCCTGCGCCAGGATGGAAGGCCCCAACCCCAGTCCCCCTCGGGGCACAGCAGCTGTGGGGGTGAGCACCAGGGAAAGAATCGGCTGGTCCTGATCCGGGGCAGCCCTGGCTGAGTGGCCCTGGGTGAGTCATTCCACCTCTCTGAGGCTGTTGGGTGGAAGGTACCCACCCCACAGAGTGGTCTGCGGGGATTGGAGGAGAGAGGAAGTGTCAGGTGTGTCAGCACATTGGCTCCTTCTCCCGTCCCCCCAGCAGCTCCACTGCTCCCTCTGAGCCTCAGTGTCCTCACCTGTTAGGAAGGCCGTGTAAGTGTGGCTCAGCACAGTCCTTCTCCCCCAGTAAATAATATAAATTTTACTTCTTGTCTCCTGGAGCTGAGGAGACAAGGCAGGGTCTGTGTCCCCACAGGGAGAGGCTGGCCACCTGCCCACTGACGGCTGGTGTTCTGTGGCCCCTTAGCCACAATTGGTATAGACCCTTTAACTTAAAGGCATTTTAAAAACATGATTTCCTTCCTCATTATGCATGCTTATCGCTAAAGATTAAGTAAGAAAAAGGACAGTAATGAAAAAAGAATAAAATAAAATAAAGAAAAATATTAAAATTTAAAAATAGAAAGGAGGAAAGTACAAATGCATTAAAAGCGATCTCACACTGAGTTCACACATTTTTGTGTGTAACCTTTCAAACTTCGGACAATGTACCATTGTTTTTCTTAACTTTTAATTATGGAATCGTTGGATATAAAGGCATACCTCAGAGATATTGTGGGCTCGGTTCCAGACCACCACAATGCAGTGACTATTGCAAAAGAGTGAGTCACTAATGTTTTTTTTGTTTCCCAACATAATTAAAAAGTATGTTTATACTATGTCTTAGTCTATACGTGTGCAATAGCATTATGTCTAAAACCCCAATAATTTAAAAATATTTTATTGTTAAAAAAGCTCTAACCATTATCCGAGCTGTCAGGGACTCATAATCTTTTTGCTGGTGGGGGCTCTTGCCTTCAATCTGCAAAAAAATGCAATATCTTCTAAGCGAAATAAATCGAGGTCCGCCTATGAAACAGAATTGTATAATTAACCCATGTACCTAGCAACCAGCTTCAACAAGTATCAACTCATGGCCAGCCTGTTTCATCTATTAGCCCCATCCTTTCTCTCCTCCCTCAAATTATTTTGAAGAAAATTTTAGACATCATATAGATTATTGTTTTTAATTTTTTTAAAAATATATTTTTATTGATTTCACAGGGGAAGGGAGAGGGAGACAGAAACATCAATAATGAGCATCATTGATTGGCTGCCTCCTGCATGCCCCCCAGCCCGCATCCAGGCATGTGCCCTGACAGGGAATCAAACTGTGACCTCCTGGTTCATTGATCCAAACTCAACCACTGAGCCACACTGGTTGTTTTATTTCTAAAAACACAGGTTGTTTTTATTTCTAAAAATTTCCTGATGTATCTCTAAAAGATAAGTAACCTTTTAATAAACATAAGTATGATACTATTATCATAACGTAAAAATGGACAAAAATTCCTTACTGTCATCAAATATCCAATCAGGGTTCAAATGTCCCTGATTATGTCATGTTTTTTCCTTTGGTTAGTTTGGTCCAAATAAGGTGCATACATTGCTTTTGGTTGAGATGTCTGATGAGTTTCTTTAAATATGTAAGTTCTCTTCTCCTGTTCAGTTGTTGTTTTTTCTTAAAGTTCATTTGTTGAAGAAACTGGGTTGTTTGTCCAGTATCTTTCCACATAGAGATTTTACCCCCAGCTGTCATTTAAATGTTCTTTTCACCCTGTATTGTCTTTAAACCAGTAGTTAGATCTAGAAGCTTAATCTAATTCCAGTTAGAATTTTTCCCCCAAGAATACTTTAAGACAGTGTTTTAAAAACACATATGTGTTTTTATTTCAGAGAGGAAGGGAAAGAGAGAGAGAGATAGAAACACCAGTGAAGAGAGAGAATCATCAATCAGGTGCCTCCTGCATGCCCCACACTGGGGATAGAGCCCGCAGTCTGGGGTAGGTTGACGCTCAACCGCTAAACCACTCTGGCCGGGCTAAGAGTTTTCATTGCTTTCATTTACATTTCTTTGATTAATATCAAGATTGGGCTTTTTCTTCAAATACATATTGGGCATTTCTACTAAATCATTTTGTACTTTTTCAGTTGTGGTGTTGGGATAGTTCCTATTGGTCTGTGAAAGCTCTTTACATGTTGAGTGAGACAAACTTTTGTGTCACTTGTAGATAATTTTTTCTAGGTTCAGGCTTGGCTGAGCTTCTTTCCTATTCTGCCCTCAGAGGGATCTGAAGTCCCTTTCAGCCAGTATAACCATTGTTACCCATGCCTCAGGGCCCATCAGAATCTCTCACTCTCCACCATCGACCACTCCAGGTCCCTGTGGGCATCTGTCTTCCCATCCTGCTTTTTTTTTTTTTTTAATTTTTTCTTTATTAATTTCAGATAGGAAGAGAGGAGAGAGAGAGAGAAACATCAATGATGAGAGAGAATCACTGATAGTCTGCCTCCTGCACACCCGCCTCCAGGGATGGAACCCCTAACCCAGGCATGTGCCCTTGGCTGGAATTGAACCCGGGACCCTTCAGTCTACAGGCCAATGCTCTATCCATTGAGCCAAACCGACCTGGGCTGGACCCTGCTTTTTGCTGTGGGTGGAAGAGGAAGATACTGAAGGGCTGTGGTGAGGATCCCAGCATTTCTTCTTACAAAACTAGATGTTGTGGGGAGTGAAGCACTCAAAGACGGGTGGGTCCAAAGCACACATTTGGGCTCTTGTGGGGCTTAAAACAGCTGTGAGGGTGTCAGTTGTATAGGTCCCCTGCACCTGTCCAGCCCTTCATTTTATATAAGAGGCACCAGAGGCAGCTGAGGCACCTCCCAAATAGGTGGCTTTTGACTTACACAAGGTCACACCACTGTCAAGGCGTAGTATAGACAGTGTTGGATTCCAATCCTGTCCTCACCACTTACTAGCTGTGTAATCTGAGGCACCAACATCTTTGATCTTGGTTTTCTAAACTGTATTTAAAAATAAAAAAATAAAAAGGATGCAAGAGTTCTGAGCTCACAGCTGGAATTAAATGAGATAATGCATTTAAGAACTCACCAAAACCTTGGCACAGAGTAAGTGATCACAAGTCAGGAGTAGCTTTGAGGAGCTGGTCCGGTGTGGCTCAGTGGTTGAGCATCAATCTCTTAGTCAGGTGGTCACGGCTCAATTCCCAGTCAGGCACATGACCGGGTTACAGGCTTGATCCCCAGTAGGGGGCGTGCAGGAGGCAGCTGACCAATGATTCTCTCTTATCATTGATGTTTCTCTCCCTTCCTCTCTGAAATCAATAATATATTAAAAGAGTAGCGTTGAGGAGGGCAAAGCGGAAAGGAATGGGGAACGTTTGTAATAGTGTCAACAGTAAAAAAAGAAAGAGCAGCTTTAAATACAGAGTAAGCTTATGTCCATCCTAAAGGTGAAGAAACCAAAGATCCAACCATGGGCTTGGCGTAAAGGAGCACTGGGTGCGTGTTGGAGAAGCCCCTCCCAAACACCCTTTGGGCCCCTGCTTGGGTTGAGGTCTAGGGCAGGTGCCACCCCATCACGAGGAGAGCCGGCTGGAGTGATCTAACCAAGAGCACTGACTCCATGTGGAGGGGCAGCCACAGGGGGCTCTCACCGACCCACTCACTCGTCAGCTCACCTGGGCGATGCCCTGCGTGGCATCCCTCAGCAGTTCTGAGGCGTCTTCAAGTGCAGGATCCCCTGTGATCCACACGGTGATCCTGCAAAGTGGAAGAGCAGGTCAGATCCCTGGCAGACAAGGAAGCCAGTGAGAGGCAGAGCGCAGTCCGTGAGCAGGGGCGGGGCACTGCGTCTCCAACCCCCAGCCTTGCATTCTTTCCACAGCAAG